TGGCTTTCCGCACGCATTTTTGCACACAATAGTATTGTTATCCTAAGCTCATGAAGGAGTTTTATTGTACGAATCTAACTACCTAGATTATTAGGCTATAAATCGGGTCGCTATGAGACTTTTTGCCAACTTATTTATAGCTTTGGTACGCAAAGCTTTTTCCTCCACGCTGTAACATAAATAACAGTACAAGCTAATTCATTAAAAGTCCTTTTAAACAAATGATTTAAAATTGTAGCTCATTTCATACAAAAATAAACCAAAAATACATGAACATAACAACATTTTGAATTTGTTCTGTATGTCAGCGATTAAATACGCAAATATCGCACTCATTTTTTATATACGCCATTGGCATTCACAAAAAAGTTTTCAGCTACTGAATTATCAACTCAACCCTTTTTCATATTAAATGATTTAATTCATTATAATTCATACTCACATACCCATGAGTGCTGGCAATAATATATATTATTGGCCATCAACTCTTTGACTAATGGTCTTTAATCACCTTAAAACAAAGCAATTAAGCGAATTAATGGCTGCATTTCATTCGATTCTTTTGTTTTGTTGATTTTTGCACTCCTTTTCAAAACAATAAAATAACACTTTACAACAATAAAAATTAATTATTTTTTCGCTTTTTTGTTTTTTTTTTTTTTCGAACAATTCGCATTTAATTAGCGCCTTTTCAACACCCCAACAAGCAACGACAAAATATTTGAAATTATTCATTACAATGTATCGATTACGCTTTGATTGAGCGTTTAGAGCGATAGCCATTCGATAATTAACAGTATATTTATGTTTGCATGTATATATAAGCAACTAATGCATACTTATGAGAGTTCGAGTGAAAAAAGTCAATTGCGAATAAATATTTAACCCAGCTGAGTGTTTGCCATAGATTGACAGTGTGTTGTTGTGGTGGAGAAGCTGAGGCTGCTTGTGATGTATGGCAAACGTGTTGCGAGAATTTATAAAAAAAAGCACATATATTAAATAAATTTGCTGGTTTAAATATGATTTCTTAACTCGTGATTCATGCAAAAAAATATTGAATTTCGTAAAATAAGTGAGTTATTCGACTTTTCCGAATTAAATTTTTGTTTCGGATGAGAATTTTGTGCTCATTTATTTTGCTGCAAAATTTGTTTTAATACAGCTTATCTTAAAAATTAAGTCGAAATGACCATACATTCCAAATCACGACGTAAAAGCTTCTTCCTATGTTTTCAATTTTATTAAAACCCACTACTTTCATTCAACTTCCGAACACGTAGCAAACGAAAAAGCCTTCAAAAATTCCACTCCACTTACACAATCAAAGCCACCGAAATCGCTTTGCACACTTTGAAATCCCAAAGTCATCCAGAAATTCACCATAACTGTCAGTCTTTGTATTTCAATATAAATTTCTATCATTTCAAGAGTCAATTCCTTGATATCTGCTTTAAGCTGCTCAGCGAGTGGCTTTTATCAAATGTATGCCTTTTCCAACCTTTCGTAAGCAAACATAAGAATTGCTGCTTCTGCACTAAACTAGTTTCCTCGAAAGCTTTCTGTGGCAGAAATATGCATAAACAAACAACATAATAGCTGAGGAAAGAAAAGGTCTGAAATGGAAAGCAATTAAAAGTACTAAAGAGCAGCGGCAAAATCCTTACAAAACAAGCAAAAATACAAATATACAAAAATTCGTGAACGAACTTTAACTAACAGCCCATGTAGGAAAAGTAAGATCATTTAGTTTAAGACTCACTTGCAAGTCAGAAGAAATGCGTTTTTGTGATTTTTTAAGAAAATAGAATAAATCAATAATAGTAATGCACATTTGCAGAATTTAATGCATGTAGTGTAACAAAAACATCTGTCCAATTGAGATCCATCGGTATTGAATGAGCCCTGCGACCTAACCTAATAATCGGCGTTTCTTTTGATTCCGTAGCCGATCTCCTGGGGAACCTCCGAAAATGGGTTCGAAGCTACTTGATAAGAACGATCGACACGAGTTTTAGGTCTGGTTGGAAACCAGTTTGATTCGTATAATATCCTACTTCATTTTTATTTTTGAAATTTTTCTTAACATTTCCTAGAGAGTTGCTTTGTAAATAGCAAATCCAAAACCAACACATTTCCGTTACGGTTTTTCAATATTTCAATTAGGTATACCACGAAAACAATGTAAGGTGTAGAAAGTTTTTGAAAATTCTCTCACCCTCACAACTGCCAGTTTTGTCAGCAACCCAGAAGTTATCGCTTTAGGCTTTGCAAACACTCGAAAAGTCTGCAACAGCGGCAGTGACAGCACGGCGATTTTGATCAGCTGCTGTTTATATAGGCTTCACATACATATGTACATATTTTGACGCATACATATAAACATTTTCCTGTACAAACATATATACATTGCCGATTCCATCTAAGCCTCCGCCATATTTCCACAATAAATTGGCTTTGTGTGAGTAAATTACTATTGTGTGTGAATGTTAAATGAAAATTAGTGAATTAATTACGTTTTGGTTGGTTGTATTAAGAGCTCCGTGGTAGGTGGCATGCGGATGGGGTATGCATTTGTTTACAGTTGTTGTTCTCAATTCAATTGAGAATTTTAATCCAACTCTAACCATATTGTAACATAATTTAATTGGTTCACTTAAGCGCATAGATTCCAGTCGAATTTTAATTTAATTACAAATTTTTCCTGAAATTGAAGTTAAATCCGGTATGGATTATTTTAATTAATTAGAAGTAAGGTTTGTGGTGTAAAGTCTCCCTCTTATGTATGTGTATGTGGTTACGAGTGCTCGAGCAATAATTTGGTTTAAAAATGAATGCGTTTAATGCCAACAAAATGTATGAACAGGGAAAGTTTATTTATAAGTTGGGCACTGCTGTAGGTATTAGTAAAGTATAATGAATGAGGAATAAATATAGATTTTGTTAAACGTCATTGCTACTGCTTTGAAAACGTTCAAAGCTGTTATAAGAGACTCAAAGGCGAGCTTAACGAATATTAGCTGGAAATGAAGCGTTAATATTAAATCATTAAATTTGCTTTAAAACCCAAAGCAATGAATAATTTTGAGAATCATTGAGAATTTCACCAGTGATTTAGACCAATATGAAAAAAAATTTCATAGTCGAGAAAATAAATAAAAATATATTTTAAGCGCGTGATGCAATACTCTGCAGATATTACACTTTCATAACTGTTATATCCAATTCTTATAACTGTGTCGGTCGATTGCACAATATTATTTTATTTTTATATTCAACATGGTTGCGTATACGCACTGTCGTCCAATTTTGCTGTCTCACTCTTACCTCTAAGCAGGTTACGTATACGCCATGTCAACCACAGCCTCAATTTAACTTCATTTAATTAGTTGCTAAAGAATTTTCGTAAAGCTTTTATGACTAACTTTTTTCATTTAAATATATACTACATACATGCATTCATATGTATTTCGTTAAAACTCATCATTAAAATTAATTTGCAACCACAAGTTGGCAACTTTGTAAAAATATGTCCAAGTGCAAAGTAATGTTAGCAGACACCAGGGAAGAGAAGAAATAAAGAAATTTACAAGTTTCACCTACAGTTTGTAATGCTATACACTGAGTTGTAGAATTTGTGGTTTTTTACAACTACACATACATGCACACACACACAAAATGTTGTAGTTTTTGTACGCTTTGTTAGTGTTACCGGTGTAACTGAGAAGCAAACCATGCAAGTTATATCCACAAACTTAATTTTTATGTCGCCACTGTTGCCTGTGAATTTTGTGCAAAATTTTCAACAAAATTCTAGTCAAAATATTTGCACCGCCAACTCTTAACCAACATACACACAATGGAATTTGCATGTTTGTATATGAACCGGCGTGCATAAGTAAGGTACCTTGGTTTGTATGTGCTGAAATACATATACCAACCTGGTTGGAAAAGTTTTGACTAAAAAAATTAAATATTTGAACAGACATTTATATGGCAGCTATATTTTATCGGCGTCCCATATTAGTTATTTTCACTATATATTTTCTCTATGCAAGAAGTAAATTTGACACAAGTTTTGGAACACGTAGCTGCTAACTGTAAGAGTTGGAACAAAAAATGTCGGTTTTTAACTAGCGTTTGTGTGAGCGGTTTATGTTTGGTTACTTAAATTTTCACAATTTTCGGTATACATTTTCCACTCATTATAAAACAATATTTCACAAATTTTGTTGTTTGCAGCATTGTAATTTAAAAAAAAAAAATATTTTTGTACGATTGCTTGTATGGCCGATATATGTTTGCTCCGTTTAATTTTAATGATTTTCGGTATAGGGTTTCTACTTATCACAAGACAATATTTCACAAAATTTTGGTGTTCGCAGTAATATAATTCTAATAGTTATAACCAAACAAAGAGAAAATTTCGTTTTTCTGGTAGCTCAGCGCTCCAAATATTGTTCCAAATGGGCTTCACAATATCTACATATATGCATTTGCATAATACGCCTCGATTTGTCTGTAACTTTATGCTCATATTGTTGCGCGCAAAACTTCCCAAAATTAAACTTTCAAAGTGCATTCCGTTGCACTTTCGCGCAAATACTTGCACAAGCCGAAATAGTCTATTCGTACGTTATATAAATATATACAAATAAATTTTCCAAAGTATAGCTAACATAGTTGTCACATGTTTTATAAGCTAAAATTGATCTTTTATCTATTGTGGCGCATCATCAATACACAAATTTGTTGTAACTTGTTGATTTTGTTTCGCATATAAAATCAAATACAACAACGCATACAATGCAAGTGTAAATGTCTAACGAAACCACAATAGCTCAGTTATTTGTCAGAATTAATTACTAAGGTAGAACCAGAAATATTTTGCGTCATTTTGTCGTCAACTGTGTGAATATGTGTTGGTAATTGATTTACCATGTCTATTTTTGGTGATTGTCAAAAACCTTTATTGATGTTGTATTTTTCTTTATTTGCAGGAAGTCGGAAGCATTATTGGCAAAAAGGGCGAGATTGTAAACAGATTTCGTGAGGAGGTAATTTTATAATTTAATTTTTGGATTTGTTGCTTTTATAAATTAATACAATTTGATATTTTTTATACTTTTTTCGTCACATTTTCCCCGGCATAGTCTGGCGCAAAGATCAACATCTCGGACGGTTCATGCCCGGAGCGCATTGTCACTGTGTCGGGCACGACCAGCGCGATCTTCTCGGCATTCACGCTCATCACAAAGAAGTTTGAAGAGGTAATGTAGATAGATTTTAATGTCTGTAAATAAAAGAGTGGTTGGTAAAAGTTATTATTTTCCGTTATTTTAAAGTTTTTTTTTATAATTATAGGATTAAGTGGTATTCTAGTCTAGAAATTAAAAAAAAAAAATTTTTTCATAAGTCGATAGTTTAGAAACTCAAAAATACCTATTAAAAGGGCTTTTCAAAATTCAAATAATTTTTCTTTTGTTTTTTTTTTTAATTTAAGGTGGTATTCTTGTCTAAAAATTGGAAATAAAATTAGTTTAGATATTCAAAAATACCTCCCTAAAAGCATTTTTCAAAATTCAAATTATTTCGAAGTTATAGACTTTTTTTTTGACATTGACGCCCTCGATCTTAATTTGGAATTTTTTTGCCAATTTAAACCCATTAACTTTTAGAAATATTTAAAGTATTGCGAGAGTTTATTTAAAATTCGTAAAGGCAAGAATTGTAACAGCCAAAAGAACCCTAGTATTATTTTGAATTTGACTTCCCTACCGAAAACATGTTAAAAATGCAATAAAATACTTTCATATTGCATATTTAAAAATGTTGCCTCGAACGCTTTTTAAACTTTCAACTCCAATAAAGTTGATTTTGCGTTTGTAACACACAAGACACACAGCTACACACACATACATTTTTAGTGTTAAACACAAGCATACGAACATATAAATCAATCTCAGCATAGCCCAGCCACCACTCTTTACCGCCTAAGCTAAAGCTTGTTTGCATATTTAATACATACAATTCTTTTTAGTGGTGCTCACAGTTCAGTGATGTTGGCAAGGTTGGCAAAACTCAAATACCAATACGTTTAATTGTGCCCGCCAGTCAATGTGGATCGTTAATTGGTAAAAAACACAACTCAGACACACTCATACTTGTATCCAGCACTATTTACACTAATGTAATTGAAATATCTCTTTACTCCTTTACCGTTTTGCTTGCTGTCCTTCCGCTGTATTCTCCTGTCTACGGCCCGGGTGCAGGAAAAAGTGGTTCAAAAATCAAGGAGATACGTCAATCCACTGGCTGTTCGATTCAGGTTGCCAGCGAAATGTTGCCAAATTCAACAGAGCGTGCCGTTACTTTGAGCGGCACTGCCGAGCAAATAACCCAATGCATCTATCAGATTTGTCTCGTTATGCTGGAGGTGAGTATTGAATTAAATTGCTGGCTGGCAAAGTTGCAAAGCGCAGACAGACACACAAGCATACACATGCAACTGGTCAAAAATATGACAGACTACATACATACATACTGGCTCGTAACGCTGTATACTTGCATGTGTGTGTGTGTGATGTTCGCGCAACTGCACCTTGCCCAGTTTAATTAAATTTACTTACTTTCTAAACACACATTTGTGCAATTTCAACCAACTATAACAACAACAATTGCAACAACAGTCACCACCAAGGGGCGCCACCATACCGTATCGGCCAAAACCGCAAGTATCTGGACCAGTCATTTTGGCAAACGGACAAGCCTATACCATACAAGGCAACTATGCCGTACCCGCACAAGAGGTAAGCTAACCGCACATCTATGCATGTGCCATATATTCAAACATACATACATTTATACTATGTTAACGGAAATCTTCAAGTAACACATACATTATTTACAATGAAACACCTGTGAATGGCATCATGCGCCTGCCCACACTCACCCATGCATATGTGCCACACTGCTCCTGACCCGACACCCAATTAGTGGGTGATTTTTGTGCAAGCGTGTGGTGTGGTCGTAAGCATATTGCGCATGTGTGTGCGTGTGTTTGGCATTGGCGCCGGTTGCTGGTGTTGCAGTCTCACACATATATAAGTGCATACTAGTTACAATTATCCTTTCTATTTATACACTTAATAACATACTTATTTCTATGTCTGTAAATTTATGCCACATGCTCAATTCGCCAATATGCATACATTCGCCATACATTTATACAGACATACACACATACATATATTACTTCAATATATATGTACTTTGGTCTATGCCATTTGTCATTTTTTATTTTTGGAATTATGTTGCGTACACTTTTTTGTTTTCCATCTCACAAACATACATTTTTCTGTCTTGCAAATTTATTTTTTTTTTCTCTTAATTTTTTACTTTTAATTTTTATTTTAATTT